TGCCCCACTACGTATACATACATATATTGTATAGCCAAACCATCTCCCTGATTTGTGTGTGTGTTATCCACTCAAGTCACATTTCTCTTGTTCCAGTGATAGTTGTGTGCAAACTTCTATGTGTGAATCTCTTTTATTTGTGCCACTTGCCTACATATCTATGGTTATATTTCTCTAACACATTTTTAAAATCCTAAAGGCAGACATTTTATTTCTCTAGTACTGTCAACCATATAGTAAGAAACCATAAAAATGCATTATTTGATAAGGATGAAAAGTAAAACTACGCAGAATAAAAACTTAATTCAAGATTTATCAAAATATGTGATATCTAAATATTTGCTGCATATAAACAAATAAGATATGGCTTCACATTCTTGTTATGAAGATATATCCCTTCATACAAATGTTGGTGATGCCTTTTGGAAGTTATTTACCTCCATGTCTCCATAAACATTGATACTTATGGCACCTGGTGACAGTCATGTTTATAAACAAATAACTTATTTCGCTGAAGTTATATTTGGAATCCTTGGCATGTGTAACCTCACCTTTCTATTCTTTTTTGCCAGCCTGAACTTTCTCATTTCCATATCACCCCATGATACCTGTGGTGAAAATCTATCCTTCATCCATTCGATGTCAGTTCCTAATCTATCCTTTCCCTTCTTCTCAGTGTCCAAAATCACATATCACCATCCCTCATTTTTGACACTATGACCTATCAACAAAATCTAATCTATTACCATCATTATTGTAGATTTTGCTTTGATCCCTCAGTCTGAATAATATTTGTACCTGTGACAATATTCTCAGAAGGCTATTTAATTTCTTACAAAATCCTAATCTGGCTAAGTACTTAAATCCATACTATCTTTCCAGATTATAGACTTTTTTTATGTCCTTCATTGTAAAATCATTTTCTCAGAGATTCATACCATGTGGAAATGTTTTCACTATCACCTCCTGTGGCAGAGAATGTGTTTATTAACATTTATACTTCTTCTCTTCTTTCTACACACACAAGTAACATATTTCCCAGCTCTCTTGTAATCGTGTGGGACCATGTGAGTTCCAGCCAATGGGCAGTAAGTAAACCTGAACTGTAACACTTCCAGGGCTGGTCTCCAAAATATCTCACATGATCTTTCTTGCTCTGTCTTTCCTCATCTCCCAGCCAAATGCAGCAAATCCTGACAACAACCCAAGGTAATAAAAGGATTCTGATACCTGCATTAATTCAAATCTCACCTGCCACATACTTATTTGAAATATGCTGTAAATGAAAAAGAGAGCAGTTTAGTGAATGGGATTTGGGTATTTTGAGAATAGCAATTGTTACTTGCCTCAATTAACACATTTTCCAAATACCAGGTCTTGCATTCCAAGGAGAATGTGACTACCAGTTCATTTTATTTCTCTCCATTTGCACAATTTCCATTATTTTCCATAACTTTATTGCACTCAGAATTTCTTAATATGACAATTATTTCATATCATTTTTCTTCAGTAAACCACTTCTCGGGCCAGGGGCAGGATTAATAATCCAGTAAACTGAACTACATCCTAAATCCCCTTCTCTATAAAAACTTACACCTTATTTTATATATATATATATATATATAT